CCGCTGGTTGCGAGCGCCGGCGGCGACCAGAGGCTCGAGGAGCTCGTCTCGGACATCAAGACGGTCGAGGTGACCCGCACCCTCCACGTGCCCGCCGCCGCGCCGCGGGGCATCGGCCGGCGGGCGGCGGCGCCGACGACGGCGCTGTTCCGCAACCAGCTGGTGCAGCACGACGACGAAAAGGAAGGCTGGGGCTGGGAGGTGGGGACGCGGGCCGACGAGGCGCGCCTGCAGCCGGATGCGTCGGACTCGGACGAGGAGGTGCCGCTGGCGGACCTCAAGAAGCGGGGCCGCGCCGCCAAGCGTGCGGCCAAGAAGCTGGCCAAGGCCAAGCGCAAGCGCAAGCAGGCGAGGCGAGAGCGGCGCGCCAAGCGCCAGCAGGCGATCGAGGCCGGCCGACCCTTTGAGGACTACGGCGTGTCTGAGCTCAGTCCGGACGAGGACCTCGACCTCAGCGACACGACCAGCGGCAGCGAGGAGACAGAGTACGAGAGCGGCACCGAGAGCTGGGACAGCGACGACGAGAAGCGCTGGATCGACGAGAGCAAGCCGGCCGGCAAACTGTTTGGCAAGAGCCTGCTCGATCTCGCCGAGGAGCGCACCAGAGACCGCAAGACCAAGGCCAGGTGAGCACCGCGGGTGCAGCGCCGGATTGCCCGCCACGCTCTGGCTCCTTCCATACTGACGTTTGTTTTTTCCCCTTTGGCCGGTTTGCTATCGTTTACCGTGAACGCCTCGCCCCCTCAGGTTCTACGGCCAGGCGCAGCTCGAGGACGAGGAGGCCTTCGAACGCAGCTCTGGTCTCCGCGCGCCGAGCGCCTACCACGGCGCCGGCGACGACGCGGCCTCGGTGGCCCCAAGCATGGCCAAGTCGTTCCGCGAGAACCCGACCGGCTACAACGACACAAAGGAGCGCATGGAGGCCACGTTCGGCACCGACACGCTGTGGGCCCGCGAGATGGCCAAGCGGCTCGAGGAGGAGGCCAAGGAGAAAGAAGAGGCCGAGATCCGCCGGCTGGCCGAGTTGGAATTCCAGCGCGAGGAGGAGGCTCGACAGCAGCGCAAGAAGGAGAAGCGGCTCTTCCGCACCGGCAAGGACAAGAAGGCGCAGCAGCAGCAGCAGCGCAAGGGTGCTGGGCCGGGTGGACGCGGGACCGCGTCGAACGACTCGCCATCGGTGGCCGCATCGACCCATCCGGCTGCGACCGATGACGGCCACGGCGGAAACGGCCGCGTCTCTCCCGTCCGGTCCAAGACGCCGGTCAATGCGCCCGTCATCGACCTCGACTTTGACCTCGCCGGTCCCGGCACGACAAAGCGGCGCCACAAGAAGGGGGCCGACTCGGCTGCGGCCGAATGGTTTGTCGAGTCGTCGGACGAGGAAGAGGACAGCGACGACGAGTCGAGCTCGGACGACGAGATGACGCGGCGCAGGGAGGCGATGCAGCGCGTGCGCCAGTCGAGGAACTTTTCGGCCACGGTGGCTGCCTCTGGCTCGCTGGCGGCCGAGCTGGCCAAGCACGGCATCGACCTGGGCAAGCTCGACGACGACAGCGACGCGGCCGGCGGCAACGAGTCGAGCGACGACGACCTGCCGCTGATGCAGATCAAAAAGGCGGCGGTGGACCGTCGCATGTCGCTGGCCCCGTCGATGCAGCTCAACGGCCAGGGCTTTGGAGGCGGCGGCGGCAACAACGACGGCGAAGATGAGTCGTCGGAAGAGGAGCTGACGCTCGCGGCGATCCGAGCCAAGCGGCAGCAGGCGAGCGCCAACATGGGCAAACTCGACCTGGACCACCTCACCTCTGACAGTAGCAGCCCCAATCTGGGCCAGCAGAGCCGCGGATCCTCGCCCGGCGCGAGCCAGCCGTCGAGCCTGGGCCGGTCGAGCGGCAGGGGGCTTCCGGGATCGTCGTCGCTGTCGCAGGAGCTGTCGGCCATCTGGAACGTCCAGTCGGCCAAAAAGGACGAGCCGGCCGACGACGACGACGACGATTCGGACGAGGACGTGCCGCTGGGGATGCGCCACCCGAACGGTGCCGAGGCGCTGCAGGCGGCCGAGGGCTCGGACGACGAGGACGACCGGCCGCTGGGATCGGCGCACCCGCAGGCGGCCATCATCGCCGAGCAGGCGGCCCTTATCCGCCAGCTGCGTGCCGAAAACGAGCAGGCTCGCGTCTCGCAGGTGCCGCCGGCCTGGGCTGGCATGGGAGGAGGCATGATGGGGGGCGGGTTCGGACCGAGCGCGCCGAGCATGATGGGCATGGGTATGGGCATGGGTATGGGCATGGGGATGGGAGGCGGCGCAGCGAGTACGCTGGGTTTCGGCGGACTGGGCGGGCCGATGGGACCACCTCCGGCCTCGATGATGGGGCTGCCGCAGCTGCCAGCGATGGACGTGGGTGGCGGGCCGCCCATCAACGTCGACGCCGCATCGCCGCACACGGTGACGGGCTACCTGCCCTCGCCGGGCATGGCGCCCGAGGGGCTGCCGATGTCGATGCCGATGCCGATGCCCATGTCGATGCCCATGGCGGGTGCGGCGCCGGCGGCGATGGGCATGATGCTGGATCCCAAGGCGTCGACGATTCTCAACTGGAGGACCCAGGTGCCCGCCGACGCGAGCGGGGGCGCGCCGACGCCGACGGGCAGCGGATCTGCGCCCGCCTCGGCCATTCACTCACCTCGCCAGCAGCAGTAGCAGTGGCGGTGGTAGCAGTCCATATCGATGGTACACACTACTGGTAGCATAGTAGCAGCAGGGCTGTAGACGGCGTGGTGCGGGCACCCAATCAGCCTCGTCGTTGTTGCGCGCCTGTGCGTCGCCCCGCGTATAGCAGACTTTCCCTCTCGTCATGGACATTGAATTGTATATCTTCCTCCTGACTCGGGCACGGAAGACTGTTTGCAGCCTGCTTGGACGTCACTCCTGGACCCGCGTCTCGATATCGATCGATGCTGTGTGGCTGTCGGTGAAGCCCTGAGGGGCAGGGCAGGGCAGGGCAGGGCACGGCCCAGGCCGAGAGCGGGCTGGATCCGTGCGGGCAAATGGCGGATCCTGCGCTGGGCTGGGCTGGGCTGGGCTGCGCCTCGCTCTTGCGCGCGCCAAAGCCTCCACATGGGCCAGCCGCCCCTGCTGGCTCTGTGGCCCCTGTGTCGCTGTTCCTCGTCCTGGTCACTGGCCGCCACCGACCACCGACCACCGACCACCGACCATCATCCTGGTTCCTTTCCATTGCAAGATTGCGATCAAGCGCAGACGAACCTACCCGGAGCTCGGAGGATGCCGTCGGCCGCCACCGAGACATTGACGCACAGCTGAGCCCCGCAGTCCCACCCTCCCTGTCCGCCGACAAATCTGCTCCACTGCCGGGCGACGCCCCGATCCGACACGGCCAGCGCTCATCTTCGGATCCATGCCGACCGGCACCTGAAATCGACTTTGGATCGACACCTCTGTCTCCTGGCTGGCCCGCCCCTCGCCACACACGAGAAACCCCTCGCACGCTTCCACGCCGCACACGCACGCCCTTATCGCCATGAGGTACCTTCTCGGCTTCTGTACTGTGCTCGCCGTCGTCCTGCTGCCCGTGGCAGCTCACCAGCCCTTCCAGTATCCGCTGTCGGACCATGCCCAAGCTCAGCAGCCCATCTGCCCCGACCTCGACCTCGGCGGCCGCGGTCGCAGCAGCGACGATAACAAGCGATCTCTCGCCCGCACACGAAAGGTGGCCATCATCGGCGCAGGCCCCTCGGGCAGCTCGGCCGCCTACTTCCTCAAGACGGCACAGGACCGCATCAACCTCCTCGCCGCCACCCGCAACACGACGGCCGACAGGATCAAGGTGACCATCTTTGAGCGCGACAACCGCATCGGCGGACGCACCGCCGTCGCCTACCCCTACGACGACCGGCGCTACCACCCCGTCGAGCTCGGCGCCAGCCTCTACGCCGACGTAAACTACAACATGCGCCGCGCCGTACGCCAGTTTGGCCTCGAGACGGGCGCACAGAACGGCATCGGCGGCGAGACGGGCGTCTGGGACGGCCAGCAGTTTCTCTTCCGCGGCGACATTTCCAGCTGGTGGACCAGCGCAAAGCTCTTTCTCCGCTACGGCAACAGCCCGCTCGCCGCAGAAAAGCTCCTCAAGCGCGCCCTCGCTTCCTTCCTCCGCCTCTACAGCGCATCCTACCTCCACCGCCCCAGCCGCGACGACGCGAACGCCACCGCCTCGGGCTTCCCCTGGAAGACGATCGCCAGCCTCGCCCACGCCGTCAACGTGTCGCAGCCCGCCAGCGTCACGGCAAGCCAGTTCTTCACCTCCAACGGCGTCTCGACGCTCTTTGTCGAAGAGATGATCGAGGCGCTCAGCCGCGTCAACTACGCCCAGGACACGCCCGACCTCCACGGCTTCGCCGGCCTCATCAGCCTCGCCCTCTCGGGCGCCACGGGCGTGCGCGACGGCAACTACCGCGTCTTTGAGCAATTCGTCGAGCGCAGCGGCGCCCGCATCCACCTCGGCGAGGCGGGCACCGTGACGGGCCTGGTCAAGTTCGACAGCCTGCGCGACGCCGTGCGCAGCGGCAAAATCACCTGCAACGATGCCCTCGCCTACGGCTGGACGGGCGCAGAGGCCCAGCAGGCGCGGTGGTGGGTGGGCACCCGCGACGGCGAGGGCGAGCTGTTTGACGCCGTCGTCGTCGCTGCGCCCTGGCACGACGCCGACATCACCCTCGTCAACACCGACCGCCGCATCCCGCGCCCGCCCTATGTCCACCTCCACGTCACCCTCCTCGCCACCACGGCCAAGTCGGCCAACCCGCTCTACTTTGGCTTTGGCAAGGCCGACGACGTGCCCGCCACCGTCCTCACCAGCGCCGAGAGCGTGCGCAGGGCCGTCGCTGCCCGCTTGGCGGCGGCGGCGGCCGACAGCGGCGAAGCACCGCAGGCCCACGACGATGCCGTCAAGTCGCCCAACCTCGAGGTGCGTTCGCCCGGGGACGGCCAGCAGACGGGTTTACGCTCGCGATAGACCGACTGACTGACAGGTGCCACGACTCTCGTCTCTGCCTCTCTCTTCCTCCCCTCCTCTTTGCCTGTCCCTCTCGCCCTCTCATCGCCACAGTTCCTATCGATGAACTACCTGCGACCTCTGCGGTTCCGCAACGAATCGTCGGACGCCACGCAGTCGACGCCGGCAGCGGGGGCGGGAGCGGGTCCAGAGCGGGCGGGCGAGTACATTGTCAAGATCTTCAGCCTCTCCCCGCTCTCGGACGCGCAGCTGCACCGCCTCTTTGACGCCTCGAGCATCGGCTGGGTGCACCGCAAGCAGTGGTTCTCGTACCCGCTGCTCACGCCGCTCTCGACCTTCCCGCGCGTCGAGGTCGACGAGAACCTCTACTTCCCCAACGCATTCGAGAGCCTCGCCAGCACCATGGAGACGAGCCTCGTCTCGGCGCGCAACACCGTCGGCCTGCTGCTGCGCAAGTGGTACGGCGATGCCTTTGTCAATGGACCGACGGGTGACGGCGACGGGGAGGCGGAATGTCCTTGGACCAAGGCCGAGGGTGGTTTCGCCGTCGAGGACAAGGACGAGGACCAGGACGAGGAGACGGTGTTGAACAATGAAGAGTGGGCCGGTTGGGGTTGTCGAAGCGGTTGAGGGGCGCGCGGTCGGGTCGCAGTGGGCCTTTTCCTCTCTCTCTCTCTCACTCTCTCCTCTTTCTCTCCCCTCCTGAGTCTCTCTCGGTCGCGACGTCTTCGACGCATTTCGACACCATTCCGCTCGCCCTCGGCGGGGTCGATGGCGGCCGTCGCTGCCGGACGGTCGTCGCGCCTCGCCTGCGCGTCAAGCATGTTTTTCGAAGAGCAACGTGAATTCCAGCACGATATCCCTCTGAACCCGACCGAGTGGTTTTCGCGGAGAAAAGAGCGTCCGCTCCTCTTGCTGCGTGCACAGGGGACGATGAGACGACCCTGAGAGAGGGAGGGCGGGGAGACGAGGCGACGAGAGGATCATCGTCGACGCACCTGGACCCTCGGGTCGCCCCTGTCTGCGCGCGCCTGGAGCTTGGCCTGGCGTTTGCTCGTCGGTTGCCCCTGTGCCGCCGCCGCCGCCGCCGCGTTGCCGCCTGCGCCGGTGCGCGACGACGAGGAGAAGAGGTTGGACAAGGCTGCAAAGGGGGACTGGCCCTTGAAGACGTAGGGCAGGAGCACCTTTTGGTACGCCACGTAGATGGCGTACATGGGGATCTGCGTGGTTCGAGGCGGTGCCAAGAGATGGCAGTGGGGGGGGTGGGGTGAGGTTTCACGACGATGGGGAGCCACCATGACCGAGATGGGGCGGGAGGGGAAGGGAGGCCACTTACGACAGCATAGACCCACCAGCCCCATCTACCCATCCAAGCCGTGAGGAAATGGGTGAACCACGTAACGTAGATGACATCCACCATGTATCCCGTCAACCCGCCGCGGGCGCCCGTGATGTCCTCGCCACCGCGTGCGGCAGAAAGCAGCTGGGACCAGAAGAGCAGTGCGATGGCCTCGGTGAAAGCGTACTTGGCCGCGTGGCCCCACGTCAGGCGATGACGGAGCAGCACGAAGCGCAGCAGGACGTGGAACGCATTCACGCCCACGAAGCCGTACGTGAATACCGCCTGCTGCGTCGCGTTGGCGCTGCTCGTCTTTTTCGAAGCGCCCCGTGCCTTTCGGTTTGGTCCGGACCGGATCATCAGGTAGGGAGGAGTAGAGGGGTGTAAGTGCGCATTCGAGATGGAGACGGAGGAGAAGCGGACCCCCGACTGTCGTACCATGTTGCTCTGCTCTGCGGTGTCAAGCCTTCGGTTTGGTACGGTGCGGTGCGTCGGTACGGCCAAGGAAAGCTCGAGTGGGTCGGGAGAGGGTGGTGAGAGGCGACAGGGGATCGGTACAAGGACCGGACCTGTGTTATATAGGACTGCGAAGACGACTGCCGGGAGATGGGAAGGGAAGCAGGGCAAGGCGAGTCGTCGGCGTCTTGTCGAGTTCCAGACCGCCCCGCCCCGCCGTGTCGCCGCTCCACTCGCGTGGCGCCCGGCCAGGCCAGCCTGGGGCCCGCTTCCCGCCCGCCT